TATGTAAATGTTATAATGTATCCCCTTGTACAACTAAAAATAAAATTATATTTGGAGACTTCTGTATCTTCTCAACAGTTGATATAAAAGAGACTGTTAGCAAGGATTTAGCACAATTCAACAACAAAGGATATAATTAACATTTATAGAACACTGAATTTAGCAGCAGAATATATATATTCCTTATTAATTCTCATGGAACATATATCAGAGTAGGCCATATGAGACATAAAGCAAATCTTGAGTAAGTGTGAAGAACTGAAAATTACAGAGTGTTTTGTCTGAGTACAATGGAATAAAATTAGAAATCAATAACAGAAAGATACACGAGGATCTCTAAACGCTTGGAAATTACACTCTTCTAAATAATCTGTATGTCAAATGAGAAATCTCAAAGCAAATAAAACAATAGATTGAACTCAGTAAAAATGAAATTACAGCATATCAAAATTTGTGGAACATAGGTAAATTAGTGCTTGAAAGGAAAATTTTTAGTACTATATGCATACATTAAGAGAAAAAGAATCTCAATTATTTAAGCTTCAATTTAAAGAATTTAAAAAAAAAGAACAAAATCAACCCAAAGTAAACAGATGGGAAGAAAGAATAAAGTGTAAGAATCAACTAAAGGGAAAACAGAAAAAGTACAGAATAGAGAAAATCAGTGAAACAAAGGGCTCATTCTTTGAAAAGACAAAAACACAGAGTGATAAAACATGACAAAATTCAGATTACTGATGTAAGGAATGAAATGGGCTAGCACTGCAGACCTTGAAGAATTCAAAAGGATTCTAAGTGAAATAAGGAAAGAAAAGGAATAAAAGGAATAATAAAGTAAGAAAAACCTCCCCTAGTTATATATTACATGATTTTATAGCTAAGAAATCCCAAAGATTCTGTGAAAGTGGTAGAAACTGTAAGTTTTATTTATTGGAGCTATTCAGTGGTATGTCTGTTTTGGCATTGAACATACAGGCATTAAAATTAATAATAATTCAAGGAACAAATAAGTTTTTGTAGCTAACAAAAGCAATCTTATAGGCAAGATTATTTCTACAATTTACATGGGAAGTCAAAGAACTAGAATAACTGCATTGGCTTACTAGGGCTCCCAATAACAAACTATCACAAACTGGCTTCAACAACAGAAATTTGTTGTTTCACAGTTCCGTCAGTTGGGTTGGTTCCTTCTAATGGCGGTGATGGAGTTTCTAGCCTTCTAGCCCGTCTCCTAGCTTCTGATGGTTTTCTTTACCCTCTGGAAGCATCATTCCAATTTTCCTTGCATTTATCTTCTCATGGTGGTGTTTCTAGGTGTGTTTGACACCTAACTGCCCCTTTTTGTAAGAGAGACCACGCTGATGATGCATCTCTGTGAAGACCCTTATTTTTAAACAAGGTTACAGTCTGTCTTAAACATATCTTTTTTGAGAGGACCGGAATTCAGCCCATAAAAGTGGATAAAAGTAATTTGAAAAAGAATAATGTGTGAGAAATCAGTTACGAGGTTTGATATTTATTATGTAGTTACAGTAATGAAGTGGTATTGAATGGGGGATAATACATACAGATCAGCATAACAGAACAGATTATCCAGAAACAGATCTTCACAAAATATGTCCAACTAGTTTCGACAAAAGAGAAAGCAGTTCAGTTGAGGATAGTTGTTTTACAAATGGTGCTAAAGTAATTGGATATCCCAAAGCAACCGAAAAAAAGTTTATGCAAAAGTTGAAAGACATTATGAGCTTAAATGTAAAATAATAAAAATATGAAACTTTTAGGAAATAAACATAAAAGAAATTCTTACGGATCTAGATTTAGATGAAGAGTTCTTATTCTTACACATTAAAAGCATGATCCATAAGAGAAAAAAGTCAATGAATTGGACTTTATCAAAAATTAAAAACTTCACTCTGAAAGACTCACGTAGGAGTAAAATGATTGAAGCCATAAAATGGGAGAAAATATTTTTAAAATGCATGGCTAACAAGTCTAAAATCTAGACTATGTAAAGAACTTTCAAAATTTATCAGTAACAACCAAAAGAGCTAGAAAAGGGCAAAAGATAGGAAGATAACATCTCATCAAAGAGGATACATACATGCAAAAAGCACATTATCCTTTAGGGGCATGCAAATTAAAACCATGATGAGATAACACATACTTAACAGAATGGCTAAGATTAAACATTGTGGCAATACCAAATATTGGTGAGCAAGGATGGAGAGAAACTGGACCATGCATACATTACCTACTGTAATATAAAGTGGTACAGTCATGCTGGAAAATACTGTCAGTTTTTTCAAAAACTAAATACGCAACTGTTGTAAGTGATTAAGCAGTTGCATTCCTAAGCATTTATCTTAGGAAAGTGAAGATTATGTTCACACAAAACCTGTACACAAATGTTCATTTCATAGCAGCTTTATTTATTATAGCCCCAAAACTACAATTTTCAACAGGTAAATGAACTCTGGAAATTGATACCATGGAATATTATTGAGAAATATAAAAGAATCAAGTATTAATACATGGAACAACATGATTGAATTGCCAGAGATGGTGAGTAAAAGAAACCCAAATAACAAAAAACAAAAGACAATCCCAAAGATTACATACTCTGATTCCATTTATAAGAAAGTGCTTAAAGACAAGCATGATAGTATAGAGCTGTAATCCCAGCATTCAAGACTTTGAGGCAGCAGGATTGTGAGTTGTAGGCCAGCCTGGGCTATATAGTGAAACTATTTCTCAAGCCTGTTTTGTTACCTCCCTCCCGCAAACAGTACTTTTAGTGAGAAAACTATTAAGAGTTTAGTGGTTGCCCAGGATTAAGGAGATTAAGGAAAGGGTGAGGCAGAAAGGAAGTGAATGTGGCTATAAACAAGAAGCATGAAGTCTCTAATAGAGCCATAGATATGCCAATGGGAATATAATTCACCTTTGCATATTGTATTTTCATTATCCTGATTTTGATAATTATTACTTGCCAGGTAGTACTATTGGGGGAAATTGAAATAAAGGGCACAAGCGATCTTTCTGTCTTCTTACAATTCTATGTGAGCCTATAATTACCTCAAAACAAAAAGTTTATTTGTTTTCTCAGTTATTGCAGATTTTTCTTCCAGTCTTACTTTGTTTGTTATTGACAGTCCTGTTAGATTTAGTGCAAACTCTTCTGTTTTTTATCTTCCTACTCTCTCTTATGATTTGACTTTTTGGAGTTATGGGTCAAAGAATGACTGAGACAAGTGATTCAGATTTCCTGATTCATTTGATAGAGTTCTTTGTTTCCTTTCTGCCTCTGGCTGCTTTTTGTGGAGCATATGTCTCTTCTCACTCTTGCTATCTATGTTATAGTCTCATATCTACTAAAACTTAAGGTACCCTACTAGTCTGATTGCAGCCCTCCACTGGCTTTTATCTCATCCAGAGTAAAAAGGTTTTTTTCTTGACCCAATAAACCTCACTGGATTTGCTACCTACCACCTCCACTCTCACCTCATTTTCTGCTAATGTTCCCCTTACTCACTTGGCTACAGACATACTGGTCTCCTTATCTGTTTCCAGAATAAACTACTGTCCACTTAGGACTTTTTGTAGTCCTTGTTTTTTCTATTTGGAATTGTCATCCTCTAGGCAACATCTCAGTTTTTGCTGAAAGGTCACTTCATTAAGGTTTTCCTTTGACCATCCTCTTGAACAACTCTTAACCACCAACATGGGATTTCCTATTCTCCATAGCATGCTTTAATTTCTCAATATTGTTATCATCACTTTTTTTTCTATATGTAACCTGTTTCTCCCAACCAGATTATATGCTCCATAAGTGAATGAATTTTGTTTCTTGTTTACTGATATATATCCATTTCTGGGACCATGCATCAGCAATTTGTAAAAAGTAGTAATTGTCTTGGTTTTGCTGCCATATGGCTCAGTCTCATGTCACAACTACTCAAGTCATTTTCCAGAGAATAAAGGCAGCTTTGAACAGTCCATAAATGAAAGGGTGTGTTCTGTCTCAATAAGACCGCTAACAGTGAAATTTGAGATTCATGTAATTTTCACTTGAAGAAATACTTGTTCTTTCCTTCTAACAATTTAACAACACAAAATCCTTTCCTAGCTAACACTTTATAAAAACAGGCCAGTGGGCTTAATTTTGTTGTGAGAGCAGCACTTGGTGTCCCTCCCAGAAATAACTGGAAATTCCACAATTATGATTTTTATGAGAAAGTCTAAAGTTGTTTTCCTGTTTTTATTGTGAGAGTATTACTTTTTGCAAAAAACCCCACAAAACTAGGCTCATAATAGTGAATTTATTGTACATCTTTACACTTGAATTGGCTTTCATACTCCCAATTTAGGTTTTAAGGACTTATTTTGGGGGGGGAGTTGGGGTTTGAACTCAGGGCCTTGCATTTCATAGGCAAGTGGTTTACCACTTGAGCTATACCCCAGCCTGTTTTTAGTGTTTTAAAACAAAAAATATTAATGCATTTCATTTGGGTTAGTAAGAATGAAAAAATTAAGCTCAAAGAGTGATAATAGTAATAAACTATAATCTGAAGAAAAGATTTCAAGATTCAAAAAGTGAGAAAGTAGTGTTCCTTTGCTCCAAGCAAAAGAAAAATGGTAGGATCTGGGATTGTATTCTTAAGATTGGGAAGAAATGAAATCATAGAATTCCTTTTTTAAATTTTGGTGGTGCTAGAGTTTGAACTCAGGGCTTTATGCTTGCTAGGTGAGTAGGTGTTCTATCACTTGAGCCACACCTCCAACCTGAGAGTGTATAATTCTTAATGTTTTTGTGTCTGTCCCTCCTCATCAGCACGTAAGCAGTTCCTTAAAATTATGATCAGCATTAGACATATATTTGGATGGTTTTGGTCCTTGATTATATATTTTTACATATTAAGAATAGACATCTTTAATGGTACTTTTTATAAATGGATTAACATTTGATTTTACATTATCATTCATTGTTCTCTCTGTAGATATACCTGTGTTTCCCACGATAACAGCCACTGTGACTTTTCAGGAGTTTCGATATGATGAATTTGATGGTGTCATTTTTACTATACCTGATGACTACAAGGAAGACCCAAGCCGTTTTCCTGACCTTTAACTGACATGGAAAATGATGTCATCTAATCAAGAAAAATGATTGCAGAGACCCAGAAGTGAATCCAAACAGAAGGGACAAATGGTTTCATTTAAAAAAAAAAAGGGAATTACTTATTGAATTGACACATCAGTAATATAATATAAAGAAATGGGCCTCTAATAAGAATTTCAGCAATTTTTCTGATGTGCCATTTTCAGTCTTTTTAAAAGTATACTTAAGTGTAATAGTTTGACATCTTAATGACCCTAAGACCTTCGTATGTAAAGCAGCTCTGAGTGCTGTGATTTGTTTTTAAAAATTTTTACACTTCTTGTTGAAATATATATGCATATAAATATATCTATATCTATATCTATATCTATATCTAAAACACTCCTGGACCATTATTGTAAATTAAATGTCTTAAGAGATATAAGCCCTTTTAAACTTGTCATCTTATATCAAGGTGATATTTATAAATATTCCTTCAAGCTTTGTTTTCATACAATGTAAACTCTGTAACATTATGTATAGTTCAGTAATTTGAATGTTTGTTCAATATAATGAACTAGAAGGAATGCAGTCTTCTGTAGATGAATGAATCAAATGGTAATCATTAAACAATTGCATTTATATGTTGCAATACATTTCAGAGGGGGTGTTCACTCTGCAGGGAATAAGGTACCTCCTTTAGCACCTTAGTGCAGTTCATTGTGGTGCTATTTGTTTTTACCTGAATTCTTTCTTCAATAGAAAGTGTTTGTTACTAATCTTCCTTTCATAGAACTTTTTTTTTTTCCTAACTTGAGTTTTACAGTTCTTATGTTCATGATAAGGTATGGTTAGCATGCTTAAAGATCTTCTTCTAAACCTCAGCACTTTAAAGAAATTCCAAATTTTTAAACTTGCTTCCTAATGAGTACACAGAAGTCTGATTATTTTGTTTATTTTTAGTGGTATATAGCTGCATTGGTGTCAGTTTTAAAAAACAATTCACATATTTTAGACAACCCTACATATTTTATGCTTTCAAAATAAGGGAAAAACATTTTATATGCCAACAATATATTTGTTACATGCTTACGCCCAGAAGCATATACAAGATTGACAGTTCCTATTTATTTTTTTTAAAGTCACAAGAAAATACTGATTTTATTTCCAAAGTGTTAAAATTATGCATTACTCATTTTTACACCTAAAACTTTTCATATTTATTACAAGATGGTTTGAAAGTCCAAGAAAGAAAATAAATTAGGAAGAATAATGTATAACAGTCATAAGCTATCATGTTGTATATCAAAGAACTTAGATAAATGTTTTTTAAATTTGTCCTGATGAGTGTGTCAAGAAGCATCTGTCAAGTTTTTTAGACCAATCAGTAGTTTAAACTTTCCAGAATTTTAGATAATTTGAAATGAGTGTAAATACCTTTATTGAAGAGATGATTTATTTAAAAATCCAAAGCCTCAATCATATGAAAAATTTTATAATACATCTTTAAAGCTCATCTTCCATACTGATAACACACTGCACATGTTGCCATTTTATTTAAGTACATTTTATAATGACAAAAAATAATCACAGGTTAAAAATTCAAAGACCTAATCACTACCTTACGTGGATCTGTTGAATTTTGAGGAAAGAATTGGAAAACTGAGAGTTAGATTTGTTGAATAGAAGTTGTCCCTCGTACTTAGGGAATCGTTGTAGATCAGTTGACTTAGGGATTGAATTATCCTGTCATGATTATACAGGGTTTGAGACGCCTTTGAAGGACCATGACCACTGTTGTTTTTACACTCCCTTATTTTCTAGGATTACGGTACACTTTCAGGAATATATTGCAAAGTTTTTCATAAGTGCAAACATAGGGATAAAACATGGTAAATTGCAGCTTGGGATATATCAATTTCTTAGCAGCTGTGAATATTTTGCTGGGGTACACTGGAGATAGAAGACTACTGAAAATTTTTGCACTTGAATTTTGCTTTTAGGACTTTTTTTTTTAAATAGTGGAATCAGATTATCCATTTCAAAATGTCTTTTCTCTGATCACAAACAACAAACTAATGTCAGTATCTCTCATGATGGAAAAAAGGAGCTAATTAATGCAAATAAACTTCACAATATTAGATTTTCAAGATGTGCCTTTTAATCTAGTTAATGAATGAAGCTATTTGTTCCTTAAAAAGATCACAACACTTGTATTTCTATAATCTCACATAAAAATCAAGATTTTTTTAAATGTAGCTATATAAATTCTGTGTTTGCCACTTGTGAATTTAGAACCTTTAAAGTGTGGGGGAGCATAAAAATAGTCATCTTTAAATGGCCATTTAGAAATTCATATTATGGCCAAGAATCCAAAGAATCTTGAAGAAATTTTCTAATGAAACAACTTGCCCTCTGAAGACATGGTTATACAGAGAATTGTCAAACTTCACAAAAGGGAAGTGTATAGCAGATACCCTGATTTTGAGTTAAAGTACTTTGATAGTTTGAAAATTGACACGCCTGTCAGTGGATAGTAGATAGAAGCTGAATTAACTAATTTCTTTCTGGTCAGTATTGGTATTAAGCCTCATACTAATAAAAATGGGTTTTCTGGCCATCTATAATTACAGCTACTTGGGAAACTGAGGCAGGAGGATTGAAAGTTGAAGGCCAGCTTGGCAACTTGGCAAGACCCTCCTACAAAATAAAAGTTTAAAAATGGATAAGGATGTTAGCTCAGTGGTAGATCACTTGCCTAGCATGTGTGAGACTCTGGCTTAATCTCTAGTAGGCTTCCCCTTCCCCCAAAAAAGGGGGTTGCATAGTGTTTTCTGTTTTCTGCATACACTTTATGATTCACACCTTGGGGAGGGTGGTGGATATTGCTTAGTGAGCCTTTTCCCTAGTTTTCACTAAAGTCTACAGATGAATATTTTGTTTCAGGTTGCAAGCCATGAAAGAGATGGAGTAAATACTATTATTAAATAATTAAGGGGTGCGCCCTTTTGTTCATTCATGATACTCTGACTTAACAAACAACATACTAGAGAAAAAGTTGGAGGAACTTCAGGTGACTTCAAGGTCCTCCTAGCAGGCTAGCTTTATGAGCAAAAGAATTACTGTTCTTAGATTAATATAGGATACATGTCATTATCATGTATTTTAGATCATGCCACTATCGTTACAGCCCATTTTAGAGTAAGTACTTCTAGCTACATTACTACCTATGGTGTGTAGAATTACAATTTGACTTTTGCCATACACCCAAAGTACTGATGAAATCTAAGAGCATTCAAGAAAGGTACTTACTAATCATTTCTGGTTTTGATGTTTTGCAAGTGAAAATGGTTTAAACAGAAACATTGTATAACAACCCCACCATTTATTTACCTATACTCTCCATATGTAGTTACTGGTCATTAAAAAAGACTGACAATGACTGGTTGGGATTTTTTAAATAATGAGTATTTATTGGTGGCTAGGAATTTTGTAGCTCACACATATTGTGGGATGAGGCAACAGCTTGAGCCTGCATTTTTTCCACCATCCCCAGGACAGGACTTCAGCTTTTGAGTGCTGATTTATGGTGTGCTTAGCTCCACTCTCAAGAGTCCTGGCTTCTGCAGGACACCCATGCCACCATGGCCAGAAGCAAAAAGACATGACCAGTTTCAGGCCATTCTTGTTGCTTCCAGCTTTTTCTATCATCCATTCTTCCCTTCCCAACTGCCTGTGAACTTGAATCTCCAGCATCAGGTGCAAAAACTAAAAGCCTTAACCAGGTTATAGAATTGTTAAGGTTAAATCCCCACGTAAAAAAGCTGCTCTAGGGGTACTGCTTTTCTGATTAAAAACTGATCCATTAGTTTTGTGTAAAGTTAAAAACGATCTGTTTGATGTTTGTTCTCCAAAACTTGGTATTTAACAAGTTTTAACTTTGTCAACTTAGTGGATAAAAAAAAGGCAGTTTTTACACTTACTTTACTATTAAAAGTACATTTAGTGTATCTGCAGAAAGCTAATCCAATTTGTATCTGAAATATTAGGCAGAAAGTTGTTTAAAATTTTATCTTGAGATAACTGAACAGTAATATTAAATATTTGGAACATTTCCATTTGTGACCCTAAACCTTCAACTTCTCATGCACAAATTTTAATAAGCTTAAAAACAAAAGCAGACTAATTTTAGTGACAGTGCACTACAAAAATAATCTCTAATAAACTGTTTTGAAAAGGACATGAATGTGTCACTTCTATTACTTTTTTGGCGGGACTGGAGTTTGAACGCAGGGCTTCATGCTTGCAAAGCAGGCACTCTGCCACTTCCCATCCAGTCCATTTTCCTGTGGTTATTTTGGTGCTAGGGGTTCTCTTGAACTGTTTGCCCATGCTGGCCTCAAACTATGATCCTCTTGATCTCAGCCTCCCAAGTAGCTAGGATTACAGATCTGAGCCACCGGTCCCTGGCTTTCTGTTATTTCTTATAAAGACATTACTGGTCATTTAAAGCTTTGTATCACATCCTTTCTCTAAATTATCTTAGATTGCTGAACACCTTGTAGTATCAAGAATATCCCCACTGGCCCTAAATTATCTTGCTAACAGTATCGAAATCCACACTATTGACATAAAATGAAAATGGGGACAAAAACAAGACAGTATAACAGAATTAATGTATTTCCAATTCCAGATTATTGTATCAAGTAGCATTTAGGAAAGTTTTGAAACCCATCAAAATCACAGCAGACTTCTCAACAGAAACATTAAAAGCAAGAAGAGCGTGGGGTGAGATCTTCCGGCACTGAATGAAAATAACTTCAACCCCAGGATACTCTACCCAGCAAAGCTATCATTCAAAATAGATGGAGCAATAAAAGTCTTCCATGATAAGCAGAAACTAAAACAATATGTGACCACAAAGCCACCATTACAAAAGATTCTGCAAGGTATCCTGCACACAGAAAGTGACACCCAACTTAACCATGAAAAGGCAGGCAGCACCAAACCACAGGATAAGAAAAAGCAAGACAGTAGAGAGTAACATCAAGTTAGGTACACACAATCAAACCTTCAAACAACTAAGATAACTAAATGGCAGGAATCACCACATACCTATCAGTACTAACACTTAATGTTAATGGACTTAATTCACCCATCAAAAGACACCGTTTGACAAATGGATTAAAAAGAAGATCCAACAATTTGTTGCTTACAGGAGACTCATCTCACCGACAGAAATAAGCATATGCTTAGGATGAAAGGCTGGAAGAAGATTTACCAAGCCAATGGCCCCCGAAAACAAGCAGGAGTAGCAATACTTATCTCTGACAAAGTAGACTTCAAACCTACATTGATCAAACGAGATAAAGAAGGACATTCCATACTAATAAAAGGGGAAATAGACCAAAAGGAAATAATAATCAATCTGTACGCACCCAATGTCAACGCACCCAATTTCATCAAACATACCCTGAAAGACCTAAAAGCATATATAAACGCCAACACAGTGGTGTGGGAGACTTTAACACCCATTATCATCAATAGATAGGTCATCCAAACAAAAACTCAATAAAGAAATCCAAGATCTAAAATATGCAATAGATCAAGTGGACCTAGTAGATGTCTACAGAACATTTCATCCAACCTCTACACAATATACATTCTTCTCAGCAGCCCATGGAACCTTCTCCAAAATAGATCATATCCTAGGGCACAAAGCAAGCCTCAGCAAATAAGAAAATAGAAATAATACCATGCATACTATCTGACCACAATGCAGTAAAAGTAGAACTCAACAACAAAAGTAAAGACAAAAAACATGCAAACAGCTGGAAACTAAATAACTCATTACTTAATGAAGAATGGATCATCGATGAAATAAAAGAGGAAATTAAAAAGTTCCTGGAAGTCAATGAAAATGAAAACACAACCTACCGGAACCTATGGGACACAGCTAAGGCAGTCTGAGAGGAAAGTTTATAGCCATGAGTGCATATATTAAAAAGATTGAAAGATCCCAAATCAATGACCTAATGATACATCTCAAACTCCTAGAAAAACAAGAACAAGCAAATCCCAAAACAAATAGAAGGAGAGAAATAATAAAAATAAGAGCTGAAATCAACGAAATAGAAACCAAAAAAACCATACAAAGAATTAATGAAACAAAAAGTTGGTTCTTTGAAAAAATAAACAAGATCGATAGACCCCTGGCAAACCTGACTAAAATGAGGAGAGAAAAAACCCAAATTAGTAGAATCAGGAATGCAAAAGGGGAGATAACAACAAACACCATGGAAGTCCAGGAAATCATCAGAGACTACTTTGAGAACCTATATTCAAATAAATTTGAAAATCTTAAAAGAAATGGACAGATTTCTAGATACATATGATCATCCAAAACTGAACCAAGAGGAAATTAATCACCTGAATAGACCTATAACACAAAATGAAATTGAAGCAGCAATCAAGAGTCTCCCCAAAAAGAAAAGTCCAGGACCTGATGGATTCTCTGCTGAATTCTATCAGACCTTTAAAGAAGAACTGATACCAACCCTCCTTAAACTGTTCCATGAAATAGAAAGGGAAGGAAAACTGCCAAACACATTTTATGAAGCCAGTATTACACTTATCCCAAAACCAGGCAAAGACACCTCCAAAAAGGAGAACTATAGGCCAATCTCCTTAATGAACATTGATGCAAAAATCCTCAACAAAATAATGGCAAACCGAATTCAGCAACACATCAAAAAGATTATTCACCACGACCAGTAGGCTTCATCCCAGGGATGCAGGGGTGGTTCAACATACGAAAATCAATAAACGTAATAAACCACATTAACAGAAGCAAAGACAAAAACCACTTGATCATCTCAATAGATGCAGAAAAAGCCTTTGATAAGATCCAACATCATTTCATGATAAAAGCTCTAAGAAAACTAGGAATAGAAGGAAAGTTCCTCAACATTATAAAAGCTATATATGACAAACCTACAGCCAGCATTATACTTAACGGAGAAAAACTAAAACCATTCCCTCTAAAATCAGGAACCAGACAAGGATGCCCACTATCTCCACTCCTATTCAACATAGTACTGGAATTCCTAGCCAGAGCAATTAGGCAAGAAGAAGGAATAAAAGGAATACAAATAGGTAAAGAAACTGTCAAAATATCCCTATTTGCAGACGACATGATCCTATACCTTAAAGACCCAAAAAACTCTACTCAGAAGCTTCTAGACATCATCAATAGCTATAGCAAGGTAGCAGGATATAAAATCAACATAGAAAAATCATTAGCATTTCTATACACTAACAATGAGCAAACGGAAAAAGAATGTATGAAAACAATTCCATTTACAATAGCCTCAAAAAAAATCAAATACCTAGGTGTAAACCTAACAAAAGATGTGAAAGACCTCTACAAGGAAAACTATACACTTCTGAAGAAAGAGATTGAGGAAGACTATAGAAAGTGGAGAGATCTCCCATGCTCATGGATTGGTAGAATCAACATAGTAAAAATGTCGATACTCCCAAAAGTAATCTACATGTTTAATGCAATTCCCATCAAAATTCCAATGACATTCATTAAAGAGATTGAAAAATCTACTGAAATTTATATGGAAACACAAGAGGCCACGAATAGCCAAGGCAATACTCAGTCAAAAAACAATGCAGGAGGTATCACAATACCTGACTTCAAACTATATTACAAAGCAATAACAATAAAAACAGCATGGTACTGGCACAAAAACAGACATGAAGACCAGTGGAACAGAATAGAGGATCCAGATATGAAGCCACACAACTATAACCAACTTGTCTTTGACAAAGGAGCTAAAAATATACAGATGGAGAAATAGCAGCCTCTTCAACAAAAACTGCTGGGAAAACTGGTTAGCAGTCTGCAAAAAACTGAAACTAGATCCATGTATATCACCCTATACCAAGATTAACTCAAAATGGATCAAGGATCTTAATATCAGACCCCAAACTCTTAAGTTGATACAAGAAAGAGTAGGAAATACTCTGGAGTTAGTAGGTATAGGTAAGAACTTTCTCAATGAAACCCCAGCAGCACAGCAACTAAGAGATAGCATAGAAAATGGACCTCATAAACTAAAAAGCTTCTGTTCATCAAAAGAAATGGTCTCTAAACTGAAGAGAACACCCACAGAGTGGGAGAAAATATTTGCCAACTATACATCAGACAAAGGACTGATAACCAGAATATACAGGGAACTTAAAAAACTAAATTCTCCCAAAACTAATGAACCAATAAAGAAATGGGCAAGTGAACTAAACAGAACTTTCTCAAAAGAAAATTCAAATGGCAAAAACACATGAAAAAATGCTCACCATCTCTAGCAATAAAGGAAATGCAAATTAAAACCACACTAAGATTCCACCTCACCCCTGTTAGAATAGCCATCTTAGCAAACACCACCAACAAACAGGTGTTGGCGAGGATGCGGGAAAAAGGAACTTCTACACTGTGGTGGGACTGTAACTAGTACACCACTCTGGAAAAAAAATTTGAGGCTACTTAAAAAGCTAAACATTGATCTACATTGATCCAGCAATACCACTCTTGGGATATACCCAAAAGACTGTTACTCTCCAGAGCACCTGCACACCATGTTTATTGCGCACTATTCACAAAGCCAAGTTATGGAAATAGCCAAGATCCCACCACGATGAATGGATTAAGAAAATGTGGTTCTTATACACAATGGATTTTATGCAGCCATGAAGAAGACGAAATGTTATCATTTGCGGTAAATGATGGAATTGGAGACATCATTCTGAGTGAGTTAGCCTGGCCCAAAAAGACCAAAAATTCGTAGTTCCCCTATATTGGACATTAGATCAAGGCAAAGCAACAAGGGATTGGACTAGGAGCACATGATAAAAAGCGAGAGCACACAAGGGAGGTGTGATAGGAAGACACCTAAAGAAAAACTACTAGCATTGTTGCCCTTAATGCGAGAAACTAAAGCAGATACCTTAAAGCAAACTGAGGCCAATAGGAAAAGGGACCAGGACTAGAGAAAAGGTTAGATCAAAAGAATTAACCTAGAAGGTAAACACACGCACAGAAATCAATGTGAGTCAATGCCCTGTATAGCTATCCTTATCTCAGACCAGCAAAAACCCCTTGTTCCTTCCTATTATTGGCTTATACTCTCTCTACAACAAAATTAGAAATAGGGCCAAAATAGTTTCTGCTGGGTATTGAGGGGGGGAGGGAGGGGTGAGGGTGGTAAGGAGGGGTGGGGGCAGGGGGGAGAAATGAACCAAGCCTTGTAATGACATATGAATAATAAAAGAAAATGAAAAAAAAAAGTAGGCATTTAGGAAAGTATATAAATTATTCTATAGTCTTTTAAAATTAATACCTTTTCTGAAACACTCAAAGAGCTGTCCATTTATTTCATATTTAATGAAAATCGCAAAAACATTTGCACTGGATTAGGAAAAAATATTATTCACAGCAAGGTAGCAGAATGAACCTGGTTTTTGGAGAGACCGAGGCACAGGAATTCGTCAGTTTATTCTGAAAAGTGTACCAATTGGCAATCACCGTCATATACCTAAAAATACTTCTATCTTGTGCCCCGACCCCACTATGGTTTTGTAGTGATAACACCTATTACTATGTAAGCTGTACGATACACAAACAGCAAAACCTGATGGGGGTTTTAAATGCAGCTCTCAAGATTAAAATTTCAAATGATTTTTTACATTCCGTCAAAGGAGCATTTTCCTTCCAACCTGCTTTTCATATTTTCCCCTACCTTTACCTCAAGTAACAAATTACCACCCAGGGAAAATGTAGATGCAACCACAGTTTCTCAATAACTATGGATGTCAGGTATTCAAGTGTTTTTAGTTATATTATACCCCAATGATACTGCATATTTTAAAAAGTATAAACAAGTTAAACTACTATCATTACTGACCCGGTTACAACTAGACTCTCCTGCCCCCTAAACTACTTGCAACGGTAAATTACTCCCATTTCAGACAAAACACATAACAAACGCTCTACTTATAAAAAGCTCAAACTCCACGAGACTGTTAAATCTCTCAAAAAAGCTACTATTGAAAAATTTAAGCAAGTAAGGACAAACATTTTTCTAACAAAACCACTTTTATTTTTGAGTTATTTTACTACCAAATACATAACAAAACTGTGTGGAGGCAGCGCTCACTTGGTCTCAACTGGTTATCTGTTAAAAGGCTGTTCCACTGCAACACCACCTTTGTGCAGATAATGTTCACTGAAGACACTTAAAATACAGACCCTTCGCTGCACCATCTAAGTCAGTGACACTATTTTAAAATAAAAAAATAATCCATTTAGAAAAGCTGTTAATACGTTTCTATTCAGAGATTACAAGTTGGGAATAGACTTGAATATCAACTTCACCCTGTGAAACTGCCAGTATTTTGTCTTTGACTTAAAAAATGGCCACATAGACTTGGTTTTGCTCACCTGTGAATGTTTTAATTTGATCCTCCTGGACCTAGATATTTGTATCTTTCTCTGTGTCAGGGAGTTTCAATGTTATTATTTATTTGAATAAGCTTCTTTACATTTTTGGCTTTCTCAACTGCCTCTAGAATCGCAATAGCACAAGTACTTGGTCTTTATGTACTAAAAAAAGTTTTGTAGGTTTAAAGAAACGTCATTTGCATTTAAGTTTGTTCTTAAAAATGCCATGATTATTTAGACCATTAATAGAACTTCTTTGCTTTAGTCAAAATTTCTGTAGATAAAATCTTTTAAAAAAGTTTTTACAAACTGTAAAAATGCTGCTTTTCTGCGTGACATGACATTTCACTTTGGGAATTAAAAAAAAAAAAATACTCAAAACTTGGATAAAAGCCGTAATTCCCAGTTTCAATTTCCCTTAACCTTAGCCACCCAAACGCTATTCACTTCTTAAATGAATAAATATCCTACTAAGTATATGGTAGATACATACATGTCATTAACAGTTTTTTATTCTATTTCAGAAAAGGCAAGTATTTATATTTCACTGAAAATATAAATTTACCAGGTACATGAGGGATTTGTTTATCCTAAAATTTACTGCATTATCCAACCCCATGCCCACACCAAAACTATGAAAAAAACTATGAAAGACTGTTCTCAATAGAAATTTTTTGGACAATCCTTTTGACAGCTATTACTAAGGTGATGGATTTCATCTGTTACTACATTTAGATGTGGGTAAAGGAAATATGTAAAATGGATGAGGTAAACATCATACATTCAATAATGTAAATAAATACAAATACAGTTTTACAGGAACATGAACGTAAGTTTAAGGGTTTTATTATCAAAGTCTTGTAAAACAATTTCAGAAACTGTACATCAACATGGCACAGATTGTAGCCTACTTTTGTTTTTACTGCACAAAAGTGAAGCTTGAAACTCCTGTAACTAAGAAAACAGTTGCCTAACTACTTTGCATATAACATGGAATCACTGTATGTGTAAGATTACTACTGCAGTAATAGTAACACAAATTTATTGGTTTTATACAACTTGAGATATCAAATAAAAGTACATCATCAAGTAGATCTGTCTTATTTTAAAAGCATATGAAGGTCAATTTAAAATGCACTACCCTCTTTTTTCCAACAGTGAGCTGAAAACAAATTAATGAAAGTGGAAAACTGATAATCAGGACGACAAGATACTTTTCTTTTATAGAAGGACTCAGAATAAGTGAATAGCTTTCACTGATATAGATGTGAAATAAATTACTTAAGGAAAAAAAATTCCAAAACATCTATATGAAAAAGTATATAACTCTACTTCAAAATATTTTGCTATTTACTCACTGCCAAAGGCAGTTTTATTTGAAATCTTGTTCCTGTAATTAAAGCCTAATTAGCCATCAAAAAAGGTTAGTGCACATATAACCTTTCTAAGTTAAACAAAGCCACAAATATTTAGCCACAAGGCTTGAAGGATTACCTATTTCAAATGCTTGTTTCCAGATGTAACTCTAAGAATGTTAATTTGTCATGTCAACAAACAAGACCGTAAGTAGATCCATCATGTTGGAAGATTGTAATGACATTAGGATATTCTTGCCACATAACATGCAATCAGTGCATTCCCTACACTGCTCTATTACATGACTCAAATTCTAGAAATACTATAAGTGAACTTACTTAATAAAGGAGATCGTACAACATAAACAATCCATGCCTGCTGTAGATGCATGCAGCTTTTCATTTTTGTTACGAAGCAGCACCAGAATAGTAAAGCTGCTTGATTACTCAATCAGATTTCGCCACAAGAGTTGGTTACCCATGTACCATTTTCTAAGAGTTTTGTTGTAAATAAGTATCAGTATCAGGAGCTTTATAACCATTTGTAATTCAGAGCTGTATACATCTAGGTTTGAGATGAACAAATACAGCACTAAAAATCACACAAAGGAATGACACTGATGCATGTATACAGTTGGATTCCCACAGAGGCAATATTCAGTCACTCATATCCATGTCTTCTTCATGATGATCATCCCCATTCACTTTGGATTCTCTTAGTGAATCACCAGTTCCCTTCTCCGCAGAACATTCCTTGGTTTTAGGGGAACCTGCTTCTGTTGGTTTCTTCTCTTCTTTTTTCTCTTTCTCACTGTCATACCCCTGTTCCTCTTCGTCGTAATCCCGTGTAACCTGCTTTGCCAAGGAGAACAATAAAAGTAAGCTTCTTCAAAGAAAAATCACATCTTAGAAGTATCAACACCATCCAAAAATACCAAAATAAACTAGTTGTATACATACTTTTACATCTTTGTCACTCTCTGATTTTCTTTCCCGTTCCTTTTCTTTATCTTTACTTTTCTTCTTTTTGCTTGTTGATCGTTCTCTTTCATCTCTGCTTCTTTCTTTGTCTTTATCTTTCTTTTTCTCCTTTTTATGTCTAGAATGAAAGTTAAAATGTGCATACAAAAAATTCTTTAAAGGAACCTTAAGGTTTCACCTTGAAGAACAGCAACATGTTATAACTTAAATTAGTTTTATTGAAGTTCCCAATATATAAGACTGCGAAGATCTAATTAAAAAAAACTGGCAATGAAAGTATAAGATGTACATGGGTCCCAAAAGATTGTAACCTAGTTCTAAGTTCAAAATGCTCAATCTTGTGAAGTATTTACTATGGAAGTCTTAAGAGACTTAGATAATACTTTTAACTCCTGAAAAAAAAATAGTACTATATGGTAGTTACAAAAATACAGGACAGCTTCAAAACTTAAAGGTGATACTCTGGTTTCTCTTCAGATTGTGTAAATCTTTCGCCTTTTTAAAAACTTAAAGACTTCTGAAAATTACAAAAGACAGATCTAAATGATTAACATTCTTACCTCCTAGGGGATGGTGAACGAGACAATTTTCTTTTAGGAGACCTAGGCTTTTTAGGAGATCTTGTTCCACTTCTACTTCTTCGTCGTCGTCTCTCTCTAAAATCACAAATGTGCAAACTAGGCTTTAAGATATAGTATGCTCTAAGACTGAAGGACTGAAGTTCGAGGTCAGGCCAATCAAATAGTTCGTGAGACCCTATTTTGAAAATACCCAACACAAAACAGGGCTGACCAAGTAACTCAAATGCTAGATCATCTGCCAGGCAACTATAAGGCCTTGAGTTCAAACTCCAGTACCAAAAAAAAAAAAGTCTCCAACATTCTGTGCTCAAGACAAGTATAGCTACTTCAATACAAAAGGCTTTCACCAATTAAAAATACCTGCCCAAATTAACTTTTAAATCATTAGATGAAATTTGCAGAGATAGAATTAGTGGAAAGGTATAAAATAAATTGACTCTGAATATCCCAGCAAAATATTTCCCATGAATCAATCCTACTTTGAACAATTATTATTAAAACATATAGCTTTTATCTACTTTTAATTTGGGCTTAAAAAACTGATAATTCTCAAGTTTCAACATTTCCAAGATGTCCATATACAATTTAGGAGTAAAAATAAAAGGAATCAAAAGAAAAAAAAAAGTAAAACCCATTCATCTGTCCTGTTCCCAAATGAAGTTTTTTTCCCCCAAGATCCCTTGTCTTGAAAACATTACACATACAACTGAATATTCATCCATCAAACATTAAGTTTGCCAATTAAATTCTGTAGGTGAAAGAGATGCTTTATATTGTTATATTTCTGCTTTCTATCTTTTTATATTCTTGTGCCCCTCAAAAGAGTGCATTAGTTACCTCAACTTAGAATGAACCAATACTTCAAGAGAATAATGTCTTTATAGACAGGTATATTAAATTAACATTAAAATGTCTCCAGTTTTTTTTTTCTCTCTTTAATTTTTATTTATTTTTAAAGTGCTAGGGATTGAACCCAGGGCCTCATGCATGCTAAACCCAAGTTCTACCACTGACTAAGCAACACTCCTAACTCCATTCAACTTTAGGAAAATACATGTTGCCCTTCATATATTCTATGCATTTTTGCCACCTATCCTTCAGGCTTGCTTTAGTTTTTCCTTTGGTACTTATACTTCATTTTTTTCTTATAACCTTACTTTTAAACCACATTCCCTTTAGCCTTCACCCAAATCCTCCATTATCCCCCTAGCAATCACTACTTTCATCTCTGCATTTACCTATTCTGAACATTCCACTTAAGTAGAATCACACAGTGTATGAAATGTGTGACTGGATTCTTTCATTTGGCATAGTTTTTTCAAGGTTCATCCACACTGCAGCATGTATCTTTTTTTTTTTGGATGCCGAATGTTTTACTGTATAAAATATTTTATATATTCATTTGTTATCAGACGCTTGGTTTCAGCTATCACTGAAAATGGTATAAATATCTGTGTATGAGGTTTTTAATGTGAACATGTTTTCTATCTCTAGGAGTGAAACTGCAGGGTTTTCTCTATGTCTAACATTTTTATGAACTCACTGTTTTCTAAGTCCAACATTTTATGCTCATATCAGCAAAGGACAAAGTTAAAATTTCTCCACATCCTCACCAACATTTGTGTCTTTTTGGTGATAACCATCCCAAGTAGATAAGTGTTAACTCTTATGCTGACTCTAACTTGCGTTTCTTTGACAACTAAAGATGTTGAAAACTCTTTACCAGACATTTGTGCACTTTTGGAGAAATGTCTATACAGAACTTTTGCCTATGTTTTAAACAGCGTCATTTGCCTTTCTGAGTTCTTCGAATTCTTTATAAATTCTAGATATGAATCCCTTATCAGATATATTCTCTAGCACCCTGTGAATTACCTTTTTACTTCTAATAACGTTCCCTCCGCGCTTGGGAAAGAGTCTCATTATGCTAAATAGCTTGGGCTGGTCCTGAACTCAAGAGTCTCCTGTTCTCAGCCTCTTGGAATACTGGAATTACAGGCATGCCCCACCACACTCAGCTTAATAGTATTCTTTGAAACACAAAAGCTTAATTCTTGTGCTCTCCAATGTATCTTCTTCCTTCTGTTGTGCTTGGGCTTTTGGTGTCTATCTAGGAAACCAGTGCCAAATTTGAAATCATAAAAATTTACTTTTGTTTTCTGATAAATTTTACAATTTTGGCTCTTAAGCGTTTCATCCACTTTTGGGTATTTTTAAAATACGGGATGAGCCTTCTAGTGAATTTAAACCAGGGGTGTGTATGTGTATTTTACTTTCCCAGGCCAAGGGATTAAACTCAGGTCCTTGTGCTTGCCAGGCGAGTACTCTACCACATGAGCCATGCAACCAGCACTTTTGCTTTGTTTGTTTTTCAGATAGGGTCTTGCACTAACTTTACCCAGGCTGGCCACAAACTGTATAAACCACCTATCTCTGGAGGCCTCTCAAGAAGCTGGATTATAGATGTGAATCTACAATGCCCAGCCCCTAAATAAGGTACATTAAAAAAAAGTGCTGCATCAAAGCATGTATAAACAATACCTGAAAGAATGTTTTCTGTGCAGTAAAGTCTGCAACACTGTTACAATTTTCACCACAGTTTACACAGACAGAACTGTCAGCTTAAGAAAGCCACAAATCAAAACTTGTGCTGACTCCCATTAATTAAAGAACTATATGAGAAAAATTCTTGAGTAGTAATACATGGATAAAGTAAAGGAAACATCATGAAGGTAATTTAATCTAACAATATAGCCATTAAATCTTAACTACTGGTTGGAGGCATGGATCAAGTGGTAGAGCACCTAGTTCTGAGTACAAACCCCAGTATCACAAAACAAACAACTATTTAAGCCTAACTTTTTTTTCTTACACGTGTATAACCTACTGATAAACTTACAAAGTTAAAAAAAATTTTTTGTACCACCTTACCTGCTTGCACTTCTAGAACGTCTGGCTGTGCTGTAACTTTTTGGTGGTGTTTTAGAACGTTTCTTTTCTTTGTCTTCTTTCTTTTTGTCTCTGATAAAAGAACAGAATTTAATATGTACGAGTGAGCCAATGCTACTTTATATAGTGCTACAAATAAAAACAAAAGTAGAATCAGATTTAATCTCACTCTTATTATTCTGGACAGACACTGTTAAAATCCACTGGTGAAGTTGCTCAATTGGTAGTGTGCCTGCCTAGCAAGCATGAGGACTTGAGCTCAAACACTGGCACTGCCAAAAAAAAAAAAAATCCAATTTTCTTGGTATCTCACAGAACTTCTAATATAGTGAAGTAGTAAGAAAATAAGATGTCAGCCAGTTTCTTGGTATGTTTGCTGAAAAATTCTAGTAGGAGTTCAGTGTTATTTGAAAAATACCCCAACGTTAAGGAACTAGTAATCATTCTACAATTCAAAAAAATCTTTTAAAGGTTCCTGCAAATTTATTTTTATTTTAATCCCGTAACTTTTTGCCCCAAGAATCTGAACAAATCTGTTTTAACATTAGCAAGTGATAACCATCATTTCAAATGGCACTTTCCATGTAATTTATTGTTTTCCTAAGAAATAAAAGTCCGTGATGAGAGAGAATGCCTAATTCCTTCTTTGTGTATGATAAAGGATCTATTAAGCAACTTTGATTAAAAGATAATTAATTCAACACACAATGACTAAAAGCCTCATTACTAAGGACTGAACACAACTCAGTAAGACTATGCTGGCTCCAGTGTTTCCATCAATTGAGATAATATGCTTCCCAACAATAAATGGGAGAAAAACAGTAAAAAATCTATGCTCATTTCAAATGGCAAAGCTCTCCTGTCACTATTAAGTAGAAACCAATGATTTGGTATGTTACTCAAGAATAGGTATACATAGAAATTTAAAAAGCAGTTGGTTTTATATGAAAAGATAGGTCCTTGAATGTGTAAATAAAACATTAAGATAGGGAATTTCTTTTTCCTATGAATTCTCAGGCTTATTCTTTTCTGGTTCCAAATCACAGGATAAAGGACTCTAGTAGGGTTCAAAGTCTTCCACATAATGATCCTTAATGAATATTTCAAACTGAACATCGTGACATATAAAGGTGAATGAAGCATAGTTCTTAAATTCTTTGACAAAGGATAAGGAATGGCTGGGAGCTCTAAATCTGCAGCAGTGGTTGGGTGGGAAGGAGAAAACAAAAGAAGTTATTAAGGACTTAAAGAATTTTTATTACCAAGATATCTTACCTAGGTCTTCAGTTCTGTAGGAGCCAAGGAAACAAATGTTTGTCATCCTCCTCAAACCGTAAATAGTTCCTTATCCTATTTCCCTGCACCTCAACACTTTTGTTATTAAGTAGGAAAGTGTATCTGAGGTGTTAGGAATGCTATAGTTCTTCCCCAATGTTAACTGCTATACCTGGTTTTTGATGTGCTCCTTGACCTTCTACCTCTCTCTCTAGAATGAGATCTTCTCCGTCTTGGACTTTTGGATCGTCGTCTACTCCTTGACTTAGAATGTGATCGCCTCCTCGACCTGCTTCTTGATCGTCTAATATATAAATGGAAGCCATACATTACAAATGTAAAAAGACTAGTTTATGAATATTTCACTCAGTGTCAGATCAATCAAGTGGGAAAAATTACTCTACTTAACATCTTTAATACCTCAGAAGTTAGTACTACTGCCTTTTAACACCTGGAATTCTTTAGCTTTCAATGTTTTACTCAGCCTATTACAAGTCCACCACACCCACAACTTCCAGGTTAAAAATACTAGTAGAGAATGAAACACAAACTGCACAGTCCTCCATCTTTGGCATTATTTTATACAATTACATAGTATTTAACATGTACTTTTTGATTCTCTACTTGTGCAGGTTAAATCTTATTTATCAATTATCAAATACTTATACATTATCCCTCTTTATAAGTGGGATCTACTGAATGTGTTGACTTCAATTTCTGATTACTATTTTGTGAATTACATTCCACCTCAATTCCTCTTTTCTCTTGTCACGTAACAGAAATGTTTCTCTGTGTCCCTCCCTCCTGGCTTCTTTCTCAGGATTTAACAAGCATATTCAATAACCGTTAGATGTTATTACCTAAAACATTCAATCCTACTTCAAACTCCAGTCCCCTGCCTCCCAAATTCATTCCTCTATTTTAAGACTCATTAAAAATAAATTGCAATTCTTGGGCTGGAGGTGGGGCTTAAGTAATAGAGCGCTTGTCCAGAAAGCCCTGATTTCAAAGTCCAGTATGAAAAAAAAAGTTGCCATCTGTTTAGGCTAGATCTCTTAAGTTTTAGTAACCATCCAATTTCTGTTTATCATTTCAAATACAAACTTAACTTTCTTCTTTTTTAAGTACAAAAGAATGAACACTTTAGAAATGGAAAAGACTGTAACGCAGTATGACGGCACATATCTATAATCCTAGCACTCAGGGAATCAGAGACTAGGATGGCAAGTCTGAGTCCAGCCTGGACTCTACAGTGAGTTCCAGACTAGCTTAGTTTTCAAATATCCAAAAAAACAAAAACAAAAACAAAAAAAAAAAAAAAAGGAAGAGACCTATTTCAATTCTCACTTATAAGTCAATTTAAGAATATTATCTAATACCTTCAATACTGTTGCTTCAGTAGTGAAAGAGACTAGTAGCACCCACTTCACCAAATAGTTGTAAAGACTAAATGCCACTATATCAAGTCTCAGTGCCTTAGAATAGGGCATAAGATCTGCTTATATAGCTTTGTTTGCTATTAATTACCTAAGAACTTTGCTTTATGGAACTCAGTAATAAACTACTTATTACCAATCTTGTTTTCAATCGTATCTGGTACTATTTAAACCACCTAATGCAGCAACAGCCGTAAAGAAGTTATGTAATGCTTATCTATTCACCACTGTACTGATAAGCAATTAATATAGTTTGATTTAAAAGACCCTAACGATATAGTCTGACAAATTATGAGCTTGTAAAAAATCAGAACCATCATTTTCTTAAGGAACTAAAAAGTCCTAGAAAATAAAAAACAGTATTAAAAGAATTTAGATTGCTCATCTGAGGATTTAAGTCAAACACTTCCAATGACCAAGCTGTACATTTTTCTAATGTACCTAAAAATATAAACATCAAAAACAAAGCAAAAGGGCACTTTTACAAGTTTCTAAACAAAGGGATTAATACGGAAGAGTTTTTAAAATGCTGACGATAAGCAGGGCGTGGTGGTCCATATCTGCAGGCTCAGCACTTGGAAGGCTGAGGAAGGAGGATCTGTAAGCCCAAAGAAATCAGTCTAGATAGCACAGATAAACTTTGGATTCTATGATCCACAATGATTATCTGATTTCAGAATAAATGTTTCAGTGCTATTTTATACTGGTTATAGTATTTCATGATTAAATTTAATTAATAAATAATAAAATAAGTTATTTACAGTCCTAGTATTTATGAATAAAGCTGCTGGGGATGACATGGGCAACGGGCTAAGTATGAGAGCATTGTCCTGGAGGAATAAGATTATAAGCAGAATCAACACCTCATATAAAGAGTAAAATTTAAATACTGTTTTAAAGAAGGGAAAAGGAGTTCCAAGTCGAAATGAAGGTGTAGGGAAAAGCTTAAGGCAGAAAAGAACACCATGAGCTAAAAGTTTAGGCAAGACTTTCTACAACTGGTTTAGAGTGGAGAATGACAAGTATGAAAAAGACAAGTTGAATGCTGTTCTGAAGTTTTATCTGTCATCTTATTAAGTCAATAATGAGCTCCACAAGGTTTATACAGAGCTGTGACAAGATTCAGATTTGGATTTCTGAAAGGCCATCTTCTAAGAGTAGGATGGGCTAGGAGAAGGTGAGTGACAAGAAATAAAGGACTCCTACAATAATAGTCCACGAAATGAATTAAGACAATGACACTTAGAAGACAATGATAAAGAAAGTCAAGAGGAAAGGCCATCTCTGAGACAGAACAGATGTGACTTGTTAGATATTTGGATATGATGTATATGCGCTTAACAGAGACATGAGAAAGTCTAGGACTCAAGAATTTATTGCTGTTTTAAGAATCCAAGTAACAGGAAAGATTTTTATCTAAGTAGTAACAGAAAGAGCAAACAGACAAGGGATGGAATTGTGTTCCAGAGGGACAGCTCAAGGATGAAGGCTATTAAGAAATAAGGTATGACTGTCAAGTGTATGTAAAGAGGTGTATGTAAAGTGAAGCTGACACAATTGAAATAACTGGCCACAATAGAATATCATAGCCCCGAGTAGCATCCTTAAAGGGCTCACACTAGAACTAGAATTTAATTAAGGAAATCCAAATAAGATAGCTTAAAAATTAAGTAAAATGAGGAGAAATAGTTCATGGTGAATAACCTAAAGCAATAGTTTTTAAATTGTGGAACCAAGGGTGCTCCAAGACCCCTATTTAATGGGGTCCAAAGGTCAAAAGTATTTGCAAAATATTAAGAAGCTAGATTCATGTGCCTTTTTCACTATGCTGACATTTGCTTTTAATGACACAGAAGCAATGATGGGTAAAGCTGCTGACATTTCCTCACCATAAACTAAAGTAGTGGCAAATGAACTAACCTAACAGTCACTGTACTGTTCACTGGCATTTCTATATGTACTTGTGGTAAAAGAAAACTATTAATGCCACTTTCAATATGTATGTCTTTAATGAATCAGTGAAAGTTAATTTTTATTCCATCTAGTACTAATGAAGTAGCAGCAGCATTAACTCTTAAGCAATATTCTGTGTGACGAAATGTAAAGTATGCATATAATTCATTTCTGATGCTTACTAAAGTGCAATGTCTATATCAAGACTGACAACTGTGTGACTGAGCTGCAAGACCAATCTGTTGCCTTTCCCATGAAACATCACTTCTAAGAATCAACTGTGGTTGAGTATTTTGCAGGTATTTTCTTGAAAAATGAGTAAGACATATCATACTTTAATTCTTTGATCTTCCTGATGAACTTGGAGGTGTTATTACCAAATGTCATTATTTTGGCATTGTGTAAAGTCAGAACTTGGAAACTTGCACCACATAATGAACCAATTACCTTCTAATGATTAGCAATGTTTACTTTCACAAAATTATGGCTGGGGAAAAAGATCCAAAGTCTAAAACAGATAGATTTTAATTCGACAGAATAAGAAACTTTCATTACGGTTTCAGACTTCATAATGCAAATTCTGGTATTTTTATTAAAGAACACTAATTACAACTGCCTGCTAAAACTATAGAACTGCCTTTCCCTTTTCTAACTGTATACCTGTATAGTTCCAGATTTCCTAAATGCTATAACCAATTTGCAAAAAAGCCAAATGCAGAACCCTATTGTTTCCTAGTAAGCTAAATATCAGCGATTTTGTAAAGAAGTCAAAACAAGACCACTTGCTTCATCAACTTTTTGCAGGTTTTGCTTTAAGGGCATGTAAACCTGAAATGGGTTAAACTGTTATTTTGAATAACAGTTTAAAATTTTGTTTTATAAGACTAGTTGAGTTTGAGCCACTAGTCTAGAGAACCTTACATACTCATAAAGGGGTATCAAATGGAAAAGAGATTAAACAAATTTAGTCTTACTCTAGGTGTAAAGAATGATACTATTAATTAGTTTATCCAGAAATACAAAGAACAGTCTCAAAAAAAAGAGCCAAGTTATTATAGATAATCTGCAGGTTACACAGATAAATTTCCAATTTAAGTCTCAGGACTTTTATTGAAAAGTCATACCTAGATTACAAGTCAGGTTTCAAGTTCAGTGCTTTTTCCATACTACTAAATAATTTTGGTGCTCAAGTCCCCAATGCCTACCATTTATGGTTTTTTTTTTTTTTTAGTATTAAAGTATGAATCATCTATTTAGTCCATACCTTTTCTCCCCACATGTGAACACTCATTCACACACTCACCAGGAGCAAGTGGATTAACTGTTAGCAAATTTTTAGAAAGATGGAAACTATCTTTCTAAAGTAGAAACTATCTTTGCCTAAAGTATAACTGACTTCAAAAGGCAAGTTAACCTGTGTCTAGAAGATGAGGGAGTCCTCCTCCTCCTAGAACGTGATCTTGATCTTGAATGCCTTCTTTTTTCTTCTTTCTTATCTGGATTTAAAAGAAAAGAAACCAATAGTTAGAAATCATTAAATAGGAAGACTATTCATTTAGGAGATATTGAAAGAATTTATCTTAATTTTTAGATTTTCCAGTATATCCTCCAATGTTACGATCGTTTTATAATCAAAATACTAAAGCCTGCTGAAGTGATACAAATTAACCTAGGCTTTCAGTAGATTTTAATTAGACTTCTAGTTCTCAGCTAGCTAATAGTTTCTTTTGCTATCTTATTTGCCTTACTTAGGAGGCTGTGAAGTGTTTCCCACAAAACAATCTTTGGCTCTTTCTGGTTTACTGTCTAGAGGGTTCCAAATGAGTCCTTGCTCCTGTCTTAGGTTCCTTCATGAATATAGTTACAATTAAGCAGGATTAAGGTTTTAATTTGCATTTTATACATCAGTAACATCTTCCTAAAGAACACTAATATAAATGTATTTTAATAAACAAGTTCATAATAAATACAAACATAAACATTTAAAATTCTTGATTCAGCAAAATGTTCTCATTGTGTATGCTTGTGTGTTTACATTTCTAGGGTTCAGAGAAGAACACTCTATCTTCTTTCACTACCACTTAACTGTATGCTCCTTTACTAAGCAAATAATTATCATGGATAATTTAAGTCAAAATGAGTAATTGTCAGTTTCAGTATTTGGCTGCCAAATCCAGAAAGCCATGACTCATTCACTATTTCACTCTACATTTTCAGTAGGTTCTCCTGATCTACTAAAAGACCTAAAAAAAAAAAAAAAAAAAAAAAAAAATGCTCAGATTATTCACACACTTCTTCAGTTATGCCATCATCATTTTTTTGCCAGCTATCACAGTTTAATATTCAAGAAAAACTGCATAAAGATATTTTACCTGGCTCTATAGCAGCGGATATCAGGGACTGTGCTTCTCGTACTCTTTTCATGGCTTCCTCTATTTCTTTACTAGAGGTATCTGATTTCAGACTTGGTGAAACAAGACCAGCAGCTACATGATTCAACCTGAAACCAAGAACCAAGAATTGAAAATGGAAATATCTTAAATTCAAGCCTGCATTTCAAATTAAGTACACATTGCAGGTCACATTGTTCTAGTAAAATACTCCTTGAAAAAAAAAAGGGGGGGGGATTCCATAGTAAACAATAGATAGTACAGCACTGTTTTGAATATTTACAATGGGCACCTCCACTTTAATGATTTAGAGGTATCTGGAATAAGAAAAATAACTATTTATTTTTGCTAAACATCCATCAACATTCCGTAAGTAAAAACACACCTTGGAAAATGCTAGTGCAAGGGAATATGCTGATACTAAAATTGTCCATCAAATGATTTAAACACTTTCTATGACATCTTAATTTTGTTGGGGATAGCATTACCTTTTTGTTTGCAGATGGGGAGAAACTGAGGCAGTGGCCAATGGCCCAAAGTTACACATGAAATCCTGACTGGAAAGGCTAAAGATGCCCCTTAAGGGTTTACACATGTAAGAAAAAATTATAGACACCAAATTTAGTATTGTAGTTATTTGTGGGGGAAGTGGGAAGTGTCATCAATAATGGGTAAAGAGAGAGCTTCAACTGTATGGGTTGGTGCTGTTTTATAAACTGGGTGGTAGCTACATGTTTGGATCTTAACCTAGTCTAATGACTCTACCCTCTCCCCCGTGTTTTTCCCCCGTGTTTTTCCTACTCACTAATAGTGACTTTCACCAACTTAAGGGGAAATGACACAAAATTCAAATTTAGTTTTAACAAGAAAACATCAATTTACACTTCATAAATTTGTCACACATGTAGGACACAATTTCAGTTACAAGTGTATGAAGAATACTTATCAAAGCACCTAATGGAACATGATGGCTATTAATTATGTAACATGCACTATCACTTCATTTCCCCTCAGCTTTGTTCCTCTCATCCTCAAGGCTCATCCTCTGCTCGTCAAACTAAATTTTCCATTTGCAGTAAGTTCCCCAGCATTACTGTTTTTTCCTTAGTTGAATACACATATTTTACTACATTTAAGTACTTAATGCCTTTCTTTCCAAACAGAGCATAAATGCTATGATGGTACTTATATGTATATATTAAATGAATAAACTACAAAAGCTGTTTATGTTATCATTCTGTTACAAGCCATTTATAATTATTACTAAAGACCCAAATCACACCAAAACAAAACCCTTGTTTATGCAAATTAATATATAACAAAAAAACACTTACTTGGGATCAACAGTACTCATAAGCTTCAGCAACTGATCTGCAGCAAGAGACTGCCAAAAACGAAAAATGTAACAGCAATGAGAATATGAAAGACATTAAATGATCCCTACTTTATTTTTTCAGTATGTTGAAATGTTCTGGGACAATCTTGCAAACCTTTAAAAAGTAAGGTGCTCTATGCATAACCCTGATCAACAAAATGAAGGACATATTAAGCTTTTAGTAGTCACATCCAATCAAACAAAGAACTCCAAAAACTAACAGGTGACATTAGTGGCTACAGTACCAAACAGAGCAGCTTCACCCTGAGCAACTTTACCAAATTAGCTGAGGGTTGAGGCTAAACAGTCTAGATTGTAAAGACTCGTCTCTTCTTATTTTAAGGCTTTCTGAGGAAAAGTAGTGTTTTAAAGAAACACTTAAAACTCAAACTTCTTTGCCAGTGCATCAAAAGATCTTCACAAAGTTAGGACTTGAGAAAAAATGTTTAGCAAAACATTAACAACAAAAACCAAAGCAATACCCAAAAATTTTCATGAGGAAAATTATGAATGCATTTTCCCATCCTTTCACAACTGCTGACCGACTCCCTGACATAATAAGGATGTCTGAGCTTCCTAGCAACTTATCTTCTACTGTGAATTACAAGTACAAAAAAAATTTCTTTAAATGGATAAAGGACTAATTTAGTGACTGTTCATATCTCACTTGTACAAGCTGGCATAAAAAATTTTTTTAACACAACATAGCAGTTAAGTCCTAATCTTGAAATGCATACTGAAAGTTAGTGAAATGAAGCTGGTGTTGCGGCTCAAGTAGAAGACCGCCTGCCTACCAAGTAAAGCCCTGAGTTCAAACCCCAATTATTACCAAAAAAAGGTAATGAAATAAGTTTCCTATGAACACAGGCTCAAAAATTGAAGGGTAGTAGTTGTACCTGAGAGTTCAAGTTTGCGCCAGGAAGCCCAAGTGCAGCAAGGGCAGGATCAAGAGTAGGAGCTCCCAAAGCAGCTAATGGAACAGCGCCAATCTGTAAACAAGTTCAAGTTTTATTAATGTAAAACTTCACTTTTGTTCCTTATACTAGAAGTGAGAAGTTATTCTCTGTAAAAGGTTAAGAAAGCAACTAGTTCATATTTTCAGGCTACAGTCTCTTGTTGCAGGTACTTAATTTTACATTACTATTGCTACTGTAGTTCAAAATCAGTTACGAATACATAAACAAATGGGTATTGTGGTATTCCAATGAAAGTCCATTAATAAAAAATGAGGTTATGATCCAAGAGCAGTAGTTAGCCACACCTTGTTCTATACGATGACCCAACTTTTCGTTCACTACAAAATAAAACATTTCAATACATTCTACTGTGTACCAGTTCTAAATATTTACTGCTTCTTTGATCCAAACCTGCTGTTGGTCCTGTTTTGTGCTCCTACCAGCAGGCCCTTATAAAGCACTTCTCCTTTGACAACTGCCATGATGTTATTTATGTATTACCTATGGTGCTTGAAGGGTCATCCTCACTCTAGAAATCACCAGCTTTCAGTCTACTCAAAGTGTACTCCTAATAAACTTTACGATCAATTTTACTTGAGAAGAGTGCTGGAAGACAGGATTTGGAGGTGGCTTCTTTTGCTGGTTCCTGTGTCTCCTTAGTGATTATTCCACAGTGAGTTTCAAGGCCACCTCTGTAGGCACCTAAGAAAACTTCACTATCTAGTCTTTCAAAGGAAATGAGAGGGGAGTCTAAGTCCCTTGATCTGCATGTTTCTTGTATGTTTTCTTTTGTCTTAGCACTGTTTTTCATACTGTATTCCTACATTTATCAGACTTCCCCTAATAATCTAACAGTCAATAATTCCTAATGTTATATGTTCCCTGTTCAAATTATTATAGTGTCTTACCTGCCAGAATTCTGATCAAACTGTAATTTGACATAAACATGGAAAATTCTGTAACTTTAGAGGCAGTCTGACCTTCTCCCAATAAATATACTATAAGTTCACCTAGTTTAAATTAATATCTAGTAAACACAGAGTATTTCTGCCCTGTCAGAATTAAAAAAACAGGTACCTGTGTAAGTGGGTTAGGTGTAGGCAGAAGTCCACCACCAGGCAGAAGACCTGCCACTGCATTAGCTGGTGCCAACAGAGATAAAGCCTTAGTCTCATCAGGAATAACTCCTGCAGAGAAACATCCTTGCATGAGAACACACTCTCTTGTAAGACAGAAAACACACAAAAACACCCAGAAAATGTCTCCCTGATACACCACCTGAGTTTGTTGAAAGTACTTATGTTCGCTAAAATATAAAGCTTGAGCTCTATGATTATTTATCATTAATTTTATGTCAGAATGAAACTTCAATGTGTGAAAATTTGTTTCCTTTTTCTCTACAAATGGTTAAGTTTCTAGTGTAAAAAAAAAATAGCACAATACACACTACTTTTTTGTTAACACTGCCAAGATTTCATCACCTGTACTCGATTTTTAAGTCATGAACCAAACGTAAGCAAGCACAGTCGGTTCTCCAGGGGTGTGCTCTCAACTTTCAAAAGCTGTTTTATGAACAACGACTCGTGTCGGCTGCTTCACTATAAAGCACACAGAAAAATCAAGATACACAAGACAAAAAAAGTTTGATTTAGGGGTTAATAATATGGTACAGTTACTATGATTTTCTTTAAACCTACCATACAAATTTTGTAAAAATTAAGAGAGGAAAAGTATGTAAAGGAAATATTCTGTTGGAATCAAGCGTAGGGCTTTTGCTGATTCATGAAAACGAATATGAATGTTTCTGAAGATCTCTGAATACACACGGGATGTGTGTGTGAGAGTGAGTGAGAGAAAATAAGTAAATCAAACATGGCACATTCCTTACCTGTACAGTAAAATGCTGTAAGTTCCAACATGTGCCATGCTAACCATACTGAAAAATGCTGCTAAACAGTATCATTTCAAAAACTAACTGAGCCAAACGCCTTAAGCCAAAAAACGGTATGTATGTATGCTTTTAAAGCCTAATCTGTGTATTCAGATAAAAGCTAAGGGTCCTAAGACAAATTATTTATGTAGACAATTTAAATTCTATCCAACAGCAAAAGCCCTATACAGATGGATTAATCTGTTAATGTGCCCAAGCCCCCAAAATGAGAGTTCAATAATACAATTAAACTACATATTTGCAAATACCAGTAGTATTTCTGTAATACATATTAAGAAACTGCATCTCATCATAAAACATACAATATGTACAGGGCACTTAAGAGAAACTGGATAAGCTGCAGAAGAAAACTGTTGGGTGGTATTTTCAGCAGGGCCTGGTATATAGTTCAGGCTGAACCAGGGAAAAGAACTGTAAAACACAACAACAAAAAAGAAAAACCACTGTTAAATAAAGGTAATGGTTCCTTCCACCTATACTGAGAAGTGCCGATAATATAAACAAATGTATACTACACAGCACTGTTATCTTGCTTGTGTCAGAGCTGTCATCAATTTAGATACCAAGAGTTATGGAGGGGAAGGGGGAGAAGATCATTTAGATAAAGGGCATTAATGCATCAATATTAACAAACCTACAAAGATTAAGGGGTAATTTTGCATGCAAAATTATGTCTCAAGAGGATTTATTAAGTATCAACATCTTACTCAAATTAGTGCATATGCAACATTTCTGGCAAACTAAAATCCTCTTCAATTTATTGTGAGACACCTGATAGAAGATCTGCATCCATTAAAAAAAAGTCATGCATCTGATCCTCTGATTAAAAAAAGACTATTTAAAAATAAAACTACAATTTAAAAGTAGCAATGAGGCCCCTCACCAGTTAATTTTCATGCGTCAAGAGTATTTTTTTTACTGCTGCTTTGATAGAACCATGAAATACTGCATGAATGTGTAGAAATGAAAGAAAAAGAAACAGACAAAAGAAACAAACATTAACCAAGGAACCTAAATAACCCCCAAAACCATTACTGTTACAGAGTTCCTTCCAAATCCAGCTATCTGTTTTACCAATTAAGACCATTCCTTACCGTATACATTGTGTCTATTGTTCTAAAACCTGACCAAGAACCAACACCAAAGTGTAAAAGAGCTAAAACCATAGTGAATGGTGACACAGGGATTGAATACTTGAGGAGGTAACATTAATACAGCATATCATACCATAAATTAAATGTAGCAAATACAGATTTCTAAACTAAAGTAGTTCTATAATTCTATATATAATCCCCAAAACTTCACTTTTAAGAACAGAGCTACAAAAATTACTATGGTCTAAAAGTATTTATATGATATACTGTACTACGCCCCAGGGTTGAGAACTGTAATACTTAGCCATTAAGAATTCATTAAATTTAAGGCTTAACTACATTCTGCACATTACAGACTCTTGCTTTCAGACCTGTCATCTATATATTTTACTCATCCTGAATTTGAATTCTGTAAATTTTCTGGTAGTTAAGTCTTATTTTACAATAGGCACACTGACATAAAAGAAATTGCTGAACCAAAACATACTAAAAAAAAAAATCTATTTATAAAAACCTTAAAATTGGGCTCACACATTTTAATAACATGGAGGTAGATACACTGTCATTATAGAACATGCCTTCACCCATCTCTGAATATATGTTAATTTATTTAGAAAACCAGAGGCAATTTCTCTAAGTTTAGACATTTCACAACTTTAACAAGGTATGCTGCAAATCTTCACATTTGTATTCAAAGATCTAAGATAACATCTAAAATCAACAATAACAAGATTTTGCTTTGACTGACCAGTTTATTAAAGGGGAAAGCATGTAAGTGCTGGTCGGTATATTTATTAAATTACCAACTTAAAATCCAGTAATTTTATTTTGTTACTGATTTCTTTGATAAAAATTTATAGTTACCAAAAAGCAAATCAAGTAGCAGTACACTGGGAACAAACTAACTGTAAAATATGCCTCAGAAAATTTTATAAAATGGCATTATAATAGTGCTGTCTTGTCACAGTGGCTTTTTTAGATCCAAAAAACCTGCTCATTTTTTTTCTGTCAAATTACTTTAACAGCCTAAAATGTAAAAAGAGAGAAAATGTAGTTAACAAATGGTTACACCAGGAAAACACTTGGGGGACTTGAGTGCTTGCTGGCCTTTAGTTAATGTCTAGAATCCCCTGTAGCTGCAGAGGACCCACTGTTTTTCAGTCATCTGGAAGGGTTTTGCATTTGCCTTCTCCACTACAAAAATCACACACACAAATAACAGAGAGAAGAATTTATTATTTAGAGATATTCTAGAAAATATAACAAGAATGAACAAGAAAATCTGGCATAAAAACAAAACACCCAGTGCCCAGTTGGCACCTAAGCTACAGGAAATCTTGAACTTTTGCAAAAATAAAAATCATTGCAACCCTTGGTATACTGGAATTCATGTGGAATTTTTTTCCGAGTTATCAGTATGGGGGAACATTAAGAGAATAAAACTCACCTAGTCATTTATTGAAAACAAAAACAATTATCATGCATTTATTTTGAAGGTTTCTATGTAATGTACATGGAGCAAACCATTTACCTTCAGAACTTTTAAAATAAAACTTAACATAAATTAACTAAGTAGATATATCTTAGGCAGTTACAATTAGGGATATGGTTGTATTGAACTTAGGTTAAATATCTTATAAAAACTGACCTGATTTCTAATTTTTAGAATTAAAAAAAAATCTGCAAATAAAAATTATGGACTGCAGTATAACAAGGGTTTCAAAATGTTAATTGCTTAGATTTTAACATGCTACTAATGCTCATTCTACAACTATACTGAGGTAGATGGTCATCTTAGGATGCCCACATAGGTACTTAAACAAAGCACCAACCTTCTGCATATGGTACGACTATCAAAGCTCTGTCAACGAATACAGTATTTGTCAGATGCTGTGCCACAACTGCTGAGTCCGGATCATGGAACTTAACAAAGCAGACACGAGAGGAGACTGGCAAAGGTGAATCACTAAAAAATAAACATAAGAGAAAAATATCAGCAAGAACATACCAATCCAAAAGAAAATTTAAAATAATGTAGTACTCACTAACTAGAATACCAAACTGCAACGGAGAGAAAACATAATGACTATTTAAATTAAAAACAGTTTTCCAAAGTTTGAGAGTGAGGCAACAAAACATGTTTTTTCAAAATACCTTTTTTTTGTGTGTATGGTTCTGAGAATCAAACCCAGGGTTAAGCAAGTGTTCTACCACTGATCCATACCTTCAGCTATTTTTATACACATGTAACAATTAGTTTTATTGTAGAAACTTTTTATTAAAGCTAATTTCCCAATAATAAAAAAGGTAAGTTTTCACTAAAAATTAAATGCCATAAAAAGTGCATCTATTTGATAACCTTGACTTGCATAACAAAGTAATTCCATACCCTGATATTCATATGTATAAGAAGTCCTAGACACTTTAAACAATTTAAGGCTTTCTGACCTGTAGCACTTTCAGAGAAAAGTTTTTATCACATATGTGTGGTGCTTAAGCAGCACCTTCCTACTATTTCACTAAGTGAAAGAACCACTTCCCTCAGCAAATAGTTTCCTCAGACAAAAGAAAAACAAGTAGTTAAGTACAAGCAATGATAGCATAAGATAAATAATGCAAAGAGCAGGCTTTTAGTTATACCATATAATCCCTGGCTACACATTAAAATCATTTGTTGGGGAATAAACTATCCACGTTCTCTACTTCACATCAATTAAATCAAGATCTCTCATGGGTGAAGTTAGCTATTCGTTGTTCTTTTAATTCTTCCTGACAATTTTAATATGCACCCAGAGTAGAGAACCAAGGCAACTACACAGACTCAGTAACAACAAGGGAAATCGTGCAATGTATCTTAATGCTGTAAGAAGAGATCTTCATTCCCTGTGAGCTTACATAATAAATGAAGCATAATCTTGTATACATAAAAATGTAGTTGTATCAGATTTGGTTATACTAGGCATTCAGATGTATCTATATATATATATACATATGTATGTGTGTGTGTGTACATCTCAATATACATATATGCATTTTTTTCCTCTTGAAAAGAACAAGTTTCTTTTGGGCACTAATAAGAAAAGCATAGATACTAATTCATAGTCAAAGTAAAACTGACAATCTGATAATTTATTCACAAGGAATTTAAGCTACTTTGTTAAAGAGGCTTAGCGCTAAAATGTTTTTGAAAAGATTACACTGGTCTAAAATTTCACAGTATTTCACTCAGAAGCAGAGAAAAGAATGCTTTAGTAGTTTTACTACTGTATCTTTGGCGATTTGCATTTCTTTTCTGATATACATGTTTTTACTACTAAATTAAAAAAATTACTTAAGGAGACATACTCATGTGTACATTAATGCTACCTAACAGAACCTTAGAAAATGGTTAAGATGTTTTACTTCACAGTTCTTTAATACCATTATTATCAGATTAAAAAAAAAAGACTGTCATCTACAAAGGTCTTAAAGAATATATATATAATAAGCAGTTCTTTTTAATTTTTTTTTTTTTTTGTAGTACCAGGGTTTGAACTTAGGGACTCACAGATGAGGGCAGGCACTCTGTCACTGAGCCACATTTTCAGTCTTTTTTCTTTTGTTTTTGTGTACCTTCTCTGTAGCTGGTATTACAGGTATGCACCAACACAACAGGAACTACACAGTTCTTTAGAAAATTAGAAAGTACTGCTCACCTGGTCACAATTTATTTTCATTTACTTGGCAATCTTAAAAAGTGAAATATCTTTACTATCTTTTAATATACACAACAGGAGAACTGCAAAACAAGACAGGGAAAAATAAGTCCTCAGGATGCTTTTGTCTTCCACCTAAGAGTGGTAGTATTGTTTCTAATGGTTCTTCAGAATCTTTTGGGATGTGCATAGAAAAATTAGGAATCCCAGTGTTCATCTAAAGTCCACTGAGTCTTGAGAATTCCTTTCATAGGAGGGTCCTTATTTTTAAGATTCCTAGCTGATATTCTTGGCCAATATATGGGGAAGAACCTCTGGTTTAGGCAACAGTTAGAAGTATTTCAACTCCTACCTTAAAACTGTGCTAACCATTTAAGGGGAAGTTTTGATCTTATGAACAAAAAACTTATCTTTTACGTTCTAACAAACAGAATGTGTGACAACCACCTGAAGACAATTCTATTGCTCTCACATGCCCTCTCCTCCCTCAATACATAAATACATAGTAAAATGTTGTATTTATTAAAATGAATTTTTCTTTAAAGGTAAATTATATTCTATTTTTATTTGTAAAATCATTAATCATTAAAGTGTTTTATGTTTGGTCATTGAAAAGCTAATAAATTTATTTATTTACACTATTACTACCATAAGTAGTTACTGTATACCACTGACATGCTTCACTAAGATCATTACCTGATAAGCACTCCAGTTATACTCTCCATTATGAAATCTCACTAAAACTAACTACTTAAAGAATGATACAATTCAGGCTGGGTGTGGTGGCGCTCACCTGTGATCCAAACACTTGGGAGGCAAGGCAGGAAGTTGGTGAGTTTTGAGGATAGAGTGGGCTACATAGTGAGACTGTCTCAAAAAACGAATGACTGGGGATGTAACTAAGTGGTAGAAAACTTCCCAGCATACACAAGAGTAAGCATTTTTCGGGAGCCCTTCTGTACCACTGGTCCACAGCACATTATCTCCAGCAAACTACTGATGAAAACTATAGAGAGTTTACAGAAGTTGTCAAAGAATTCACAACTTTGGCAGATTATTCAAATCTACCACTAAAGATAACACAACATTCATTAAGTTGTAATCTTATATATTTTCAAAAGAAAATGATCTGTATGCAGGAACATAAAAGGAGGGTGCCAAAGAGCAAAAATGTGCCTGTATATACTTTCCCCTAATACAGGGAAAGGAATCCTCTGAATGCACAGCACCTTAGATCATATGACTGGATGAACAGTTCCCCAGCAGCTATCCTGGTTACAGTGGAACTATTCGTTTTACTACAAAGGAAAAAGCCAGACTCTTACCCATCAAACATAGTGCCCACACATTAGATTAAAAAAAAAGAACCAGTAAAATGCCTACATTTCTCTTCTTTTGTAAATGCACATCATAAAATCAGCAACAGTATGGTAAGTTAGTAAACTTGTGGGTATGGGAAGCACTGTTATAATAGAATTGAATTATTTCAAATAGTACAGTATCAACTGTATCTCTCATGTTCTGCCATTTTACTGTTAACTTTACAAATAACTTAATGACATGAGAACTAACAGCAAAACATCTATTTCTGTACATTCATATTATGAAAAATGTCCACTACCAAAGCAAGTTTCTGTTCAACAGAACACGTATATGCTTGTTCCCAGAACTCTACACCTTATAACTAAATCCTCTCCACATGTATATTTTTCCTAACATTAAAGACAACATATCAATTTGAAAACACTGTCATATGAAAATATTAAGTAGAAAATTATGAACTATAATACTACTTAATACCTCATTATGATCTTTTATCAATTACTTTGATACAGAGATTAATGATTACATGCACCATAGCCATATATTCCTTGAGGATTCCAATTTCCTGTTTAGAATTTAAGTGACATCATAAAACTCTCAACATACAGTGAGTTCTGTTTAATGACAATAATATTTGAACTTTTACTTTTCTATTAATAAAAATTCCCAAAGCACACAGGTATTATTTCAAATTTTAGTTGTAATTTACTTTTACATGTTTTCTTACTTGATAATTGTCTCTTCTTTCTAATTAACCCACTCATTTAATACTGTTGCAATAAAAATGATTTTCAAAACAAACAGGATACAAAGAAGCCATACATTTTAATTAAAAATTTCAACATTTGATAAAATTCCTTTTCAAAAATTATCACGAATCATATAATTTAAGCAAAAGGAAACACCAGGGTTCGGCTATAACCCATTTTTAATACATATAGAAATTGAGAATTAAATCTCACAGGATTAATCGTCTGTGAAAATGGGTATGATTTTTGAATTATTATATCTCTGGGCCAGAATCAATTAAAAACACTTAGCAATAAGTGAACAACAGCAAATGTACAAAGGCACGAATAATCTTACAACTTTCTTCCATAGATTGCAAAGAAAAAACATTTTTTTTTTTTTTTGAAAAAAAGAGATTTAACTTATACGCGAAAGAAAATGCAGCTAGTCTTGCTTTAAGTGCCCCAAACAAAACGACTACGCTGGCAATTTAAGAGAAAAACAACAAAACCTCACAATTAAGTGCTAACGCCTCCTAATCATAAAATTCCTGGGCCTCTCCTCCGCGTTTCTTTCCTAAGTCAATTCAACAGCCACCAACTACAGCAGCCTGGCCCGGGAAGCGGCCTCACGGCCTACGGAAATGGTGCGGGTTAGGCCCCGACTGGGCGGTGTTAGCGAGAACCGTGATGGTGGACCATACTCACTCCGGCGGGAAGAGGCGCAGTTCGTCGATCTTGCCTAGGAAACCGAAGAGGGTCCGCATCTGCTCAGAGCTAGCGCTCGGGGAGACATTAGTCACCTGGATTACCTCGGTGCCGCTGCTTCCGCCGCCACCACCTCCGCCACCCGGCCCTCCGCTGGGACCCGGGCCCGCAGTACTGGGGACGACGGTAGCGTTGCTCATGGCGCTGCTCGAGTTCTCGCTCCTGCTTTAACACATCAAACACACAACAAACAGTGAGAGGGGAAAGAAGAACGCGCTCGCGGGAGAGGGAAGGAGTCCCGAGCCTGCACAGCCGCCGCCGCCGCTGTCCTTCCGCCCCGCCGCACGCCGGGGGGGAGGATGAGGAGGGCGCGAGTTGGCAACCACAGGAAAACAAACGGCCACCCCCACCTGGTCTCCCACCACCTCCCTCGCGGGCCCCGTTCCCCACAATGCCTTGCGCCGCACGGGCGCGTCGTCTCAGCTCCGCCCCGCCCCGCGCAGGCCCAGCAGTCTGGCCCGCAGCTAGAGAAACCCGAGAGGCCTGAAGGTCTCGGGAAAAGCCTCCACCTTCTTAGCCTCCAGTTTTTTTAGAAGAGAGCAGGGAAGGATAATTAGTTTTTTTGTTTGTTGGTTTGTTTAAAGCAAGCATTCACTGCCCTGCAAAAATCTGCGCAAGTTAGCAACTATTCTTATTAGCGACCACGATATTTATTTCTTTACACAGAGTTAACCATAAAGATCTGTTTAGTTACTAATACATCCACCCTAGAAGTTTTTTTCTCCCCATCACAGATTTTGGTAACATTAAATTTGTAACCAATTTGCTTTGTCACTGAAAACCTTCATAAGACATACAGTTCTTTACACCAGCTAGTGCTTTATAAGTTATTTTTTCCACAACACTTTTTACAAGCAGAGTTTATAGTACTTAAGGACTGTCAAGTATTTGTTCAGTTCAGTAATTTCTAGAGGAAAACCTCACACGCATATTCTTAACTACAGAAAAAAATCCTTGCTGTATTTTTGTCAACCTCATCTGAATTACTTTGCATCCATTGTTACCTAACGATTGTCCCAAAACCACCAAAATTTCATCTTTGTGTTTATTTATACAAGTTATTTAATAACTTCCCTCATTGTATTTAACTACCACTGTGTAGCCTTCCTTCCCTCACTGCTACAATTTCTACAAACAGGGTTTCTCTTCCCTGCTCCCCAAAAGCTGCAGAACCTAGCACTGGTGTCATATAGTCAGTGCCTTGTAAGTACTGAACACATGCACAAATTTCCCCTAATGACAGTATAATTTATTCTAAGACAGTTTGCTAATTTACTTCAGTCAATACTTTTGGAGGTTAAAACCGGAGCCCTCACAGAGTACCTACATTAGTGAATACCTCTTAGCATAATGCAGTCAAGAGGGTGATTTGTGAGAGATTAGAGCACAACATTAATGAGATTTGGATGTACAGCTGACTGTTGACTGGCTTTACCAGTGGCTCAGTAGCCACTTAGTGAGGGATGGATTGATTGTTAACCTTTGCAAAATTAGAAATTACAATTAACCATCTCTCATAAATGTGTATTTGTGAATATAAAGAATGTTAAGTAATTTATTTCCTCATTTGAATCAGACATATAACTGTTAATTACAGGTTCTTACCAGTTCACCATTTAGTATTAGGAGTGCCTACAATATGCAAGCATGTTACAATATTCAATGAAAGGACAGATAAACACAAGGGAAGAGTTCATGCCTGCCTCGTTTTCTTAAGTGTTTTAATACACACACACACACACACACACACACACACACACACACACACACACGCGCAGTTCATTTCGGCAGTACTGGGGTTTGAGCTCAGGGCCTCATGCTTGCTAGGCAGATGCTCTACCACTTGAGCCACTCTGCCAGCTCTTAAATGTTATTTAACAAACATCTATTCTCTGTGGTGGGTACACAGAAATCTTTTACATTATTCTGCATTTTCCTGTATGCTTGACATTTCATAATAAAAATTACAAATTCAAACCAAAGAAAAAAGATAATTCTGGGGTAAAGTCTTTTTATCATTAGAAGCCAATTTATGTATAATAACTAACTAACTGAACACACTAATGGACGGTGCTTTGATGTAGAAAAACATGATATGGAGAAACAACGTGGCACAAAGAATGTTACTTAAATAAAGAAAATCTTAAATGTTTTATTTTCAGATCACCTACCAGCTACAAAACAAAATCATAAACCAAAACTGAACTTAAAGAGAAGATTGGCTTAAATATTAACACTGTCTTTAAGCATGTAGTCTGAGAAAATCTCACTTCCAAGAATCTAGCTGAGTTTCCTGGTCAACCAACTTTGAACATCCTTATAAGTCTTAAATAATTACACTACTAACTACTTTGAGTTATTTTCTGCATCTTAAGGTAGAGTCAATGTCCTTGATCTCACAAAACCTCAGATCTAGTATGGCAAACTTCATTAAAAAAAAAAGACATAAAGAATATATGATGTGATGAATTAAAATAGGATACAAGATGAGTAAAAAGAGAAGATGCTATATGCTGACACCCTAGTAAAAGGAGGAAGCAAGCCATCTGAATTTCTGAGAGAGACTTATAAAGAAATCTTGTCATAGTAAAAGAAGTATGCAGAGAAGAGTCACTCAACTTATCTTTGGGGATAAGGTAGGGATGGCTTTCAGTTACATTTGTAACTCAGTTTCACTGAGAATCAGTGTTATTTCTAATCCAAATCAAAAAGTAACTTGTCATGTTGGCCTACAAAATCATATTATGTGAAAGTACATGACAACCCCCTAAGCCCCTGCTTTTATTATTATTTTTTTTTTGAAATAGGGTCTGCCATACTCTTGCCTCTTGCTCCTGAGTGCCTGGATTACAGATGTGAACCACATTGGGCTGATAGGCTTTTGAAACATGGAAAATCATTTATAGGTTTTCTCCATGATACTTTGAAACTCCATAGGTCCCAACTGCTAATAGGTAAATAATTTAAGCCAATTCTTTTTTTTTTTTCTTCAGACAGGGTCTTGCTGTGTAGACCAGGCTGGCTTCAAATTTGCCATCCTCCTCCTTTTGCTTCCCAAGTGCTGGGATTATAGGCATTGACCAACATGCATAGAAACAACTGATTCTTGATATTGCCAGGAAAGTATGTAAACAAATATTAGAGAATGCTACATGTAGATCATTAAAACAGTACTAATCCTCTTAGTCATAATGGAAAACTTTAGTCTTAAAAAGCTTTCTATGTCTCAAGCTTCTAAAAGACTTAAGCACCTAGATGTTAGTTCTTTGGATGTAAGAACAGACACAGAAATGTATATAATCTCTCTACCTGCAAACCAACATTTTCCTAATTAGATAATGTAAGTCACTTTTGTTTTCACTAATGGATGGAGGAGTCCTGATTGAAACAATTCTGTAAATCTGCAATAAGACTTTATTAAATTAATTGTTAAAGGGCTCTTCTCCTTACCAAATAAACTTTTAGAAAACATCAAGGGCAGTATTATTATTAACCTTTGGGTTTCTGATGACCAATGACATATGTATGTATCTATGTGTAAATACGTATGTGTGCATATGTATACATGTATGTATTATTACTATTCTTATTTATTTGTTTTAAGGGGCACAAGGTCTCCCTATGCTACCCACGATGGGCTGAAACTCCAGGGCTGAATTCATCCTCTTGCCTGAGCTTTGCTGTAGCTGGGGCTATAGGCACATACCGTGGAGCCTGATGACCAGTAGTATACTGGACACTAAGTATCAAAATACAAGCTTTACAGATGCCTCACACAGTCTGTTCAACCCAGGAAGGCAGGTAGCTTATCACTAAGGAATGCATAAGGATATACATGCAACGAAGGCTCTGTGAATGAAGATAGCATTTTATCTGTTAGATTTAAAATGAGATTGTTTGAAGTAAAAATCTCAAAGTATATGGTTATACACTTTTAAGAAAAACCTAGGAAATAAATTGCTGCTTACAGACCTCTATTAAAAAAAAACAAAACACCTTATCTACAGATCAACTTTATTTTATGCAGAAGACCCTTGTATGTGTCCATGGACACAGCCATTTAAAAACCACAAATGCTTAGGATACAGAGTTCAGAATAGTACTGAGGATGCTTGATTCATTTTTTCATCTTATGCTATAGACACCCCACCTTTCAACATGCGTAAACTATTCACTTTGTCACTTCAGTTAAGCACATTAACTTTTACCTTGCCTTTTGGACACCATTTGTCTTTTGGGAGGCAAATTATTTTCATAAAATTAAGAGGAGAAACACTCAGCAGATCACACTACCATTTAAACACAACTGACAATAAATAATATGGGATTGAGAGTTCCTCCATGGGGCTGGCAAGGTGGCTCAAGTGGTAGAGTGCCTGCCTAGCAAACATGAGGCCCCGAGTTCAAACCCCAGTACTACCAATTAAAAAAAAAAAGGGAGCGTTCCTCCACATCAACTGAGCTGCATAATACCCATGTGGGAATTAAAAATTTTGGTTTTGAAATCTATTTAAAATTCATTTCTTGACAGTGCTTGATCAAAACTGCATGTAATACATCTGCAAGTAAAGCAGGTATACTGTATTTCTCATTTAAAAACTAGACAATTAAATTTCCATTTTGTTGCTAAATATATAAATTTTGGTAATTCTATTAAATATTGGTTATTTTTATATCAAAATTGTAAATTTCCACATTCCTCTTTCCACCCCATTTAAAAGACGGGGAGAAGATAGACTGGGCTAGCACTAAGGGATTGACAGACATGTGGACACAGACTCACCCCACACTAGGACCCTGAGCATCTTGAAATTGTAAGCAAAAATCTGTATATGTCCCATTTGCACAGCGTTGTTTTTATGATTAACATACAGGAAAAAAGTAGTAGTCTGAATATTAAGATACTGTTTCTATGGCTCTTGCCTAACCAATATGGAACCCTGAGTTCAAATCTCAGTACTGTGAAGAAAAAAAAATACCGTTTTTAACATCTACATTGCATGGTATTCTCAGCTACAATGCATATTTATAGCTTGGAAAAATCAATTTATCTGTACAGGTTAGCTTGACTTTTTGGATTGAATATGATCAAGAAATATTTGGGGAATGCTAATTACTCATAATTATTTTTTATGTTATTCAAGATTCTTTTGGGGTCTCAATTGGGCATCCTGCACATTTTTTATCTTTTGGCAGTATTGGGTTTTGAACTTAGGGCTTTCGACTTACACACAATCAATCTTAAAAAGAAAAGTCCAGTGGGAAAAATATTCTGTGGAGTTAAATGGATCTGTAAGTAAATAGTTTTAAGCATTCAAATATCAGTTTTCCTTAATCAAAGA